CCTTGCAGGTCCACCGCCAGGCCCCTCATGGGGCTCGGCAGTGGAGCTGCTGCAAGGCCGGCGGCGGCCGGGACCATTGGGGGCGGGGTGTGTGGCCTTATGACACACTTCCGGTGATGTCAGGGGGTGTGGCCTTATGACACACTTCCGGTGATGTCAGGGGGTGTGGCATATGCTAATGAGTTATGCTAATGAGTTCCCCTAGCTCTTTTTCTACGAAACGACCCCTGCTTAAAACTTTTTTTTTTCTCCCCTCTTGCTTTGTCTCCTCTCCGCCCCTTTCCGCGGCACTCTTCCCTCCTCCTGGTCCTGCCGCACACCTCCCGCCGTACCGTTCCCTCCCAAACTTTCATAATCATATATTCCCTGTTGCCTTCCTTTGGCTGATCATTAATTTTGTAAAAAACTTTGTTTGGTTTCTCCCCTCTTGTTCTGTCTCCTTCCCACCCTCTCCTGTTGCACTCTTCCCCCCCTCCCCGGTCCTGCCACGCACTCTCCCCCCAATCCTTCCCTCACACTCGTTCCCTCCTGTCAAGATAGGTAGGCTTTCTTGTGGGTAACAAGAGTTGAGTACACATAAGCCAAATTAAGTTTTAAAAGAATTTATTTATTTAAAAGAACAATTAAGAAAAAATGTCCAAAATCCAGCAACATACATCACAGAAAGAACAGGAAAACAAAATTAACCTCAACTACCTGTGCTCTATAGTTTTCAGGAAGGTAGACCGGAAAATGTAACGAGGAGCGTGGCTTCACGTTGTGGTCTGCACAGACGAACCGCAAGCAGGAGTTCCCCCGAATCTCCTAAGCTAGCTTTCTCCCAGTTAAGCGGTTAAAATATATTCTTTTCCTTTCAACCACCAGCTGCATCCACTTTGCGGTCAAAACAGTTTTCCAAATAACATTAATTGGTAACCCTGCCTGTCCTTGGAAATGGCATCTTAGCAACAACAAAGTTAGAACAGCTGTATTGCGGAGAAGGGTAACATACTGCCATATCACTTAACCCTTTACAGACACTTTTGCTTCACACCTCCCCTTCCGAACTTTCCTGGTCATATATTCCCCTCCCCTCCCCTTGGCTGATCCTAGGTGTTGTTGTTTTTTATTTGTTTCTCCCCTCTTCCTCTGTCTCCTTCCCTCCCCCGGTCCTGCCATGCGCTTCGTCCCAGCCCCTGCCTAACACTAATTTTTCCTCGACCCAAACTGTTAAGTCGCTCGCTTAACAAAGCAGTCGGAGAGTGATTCAGCAAGAACACAACTTTATTCTTCCACTCGAACACAACTCCAACACGGATCAACATCTGATAGCCAGAACAACCTTTACACTGCAGGTGTCCTGCTTTTAAACATTCCCGGCTAATGTAGCCACGCCCACTGTACAAATATCAACCTATGAGGTTGCCGAGATAAGGTCCAATCACATTAGTTCCCGCTCAGGGAGCTTCCTTGAAGTGATTGGCTTGTTACTTCCTGGGCTAGCAATACTATTGGATGGATTTGGATCCTAGCCCAGGACGAAGCTCAACATTACAGTATAGTTAGATGTTTCACAAGATTGCATGCATTCAAGGCAGCTTTGAATACACTACACAAACTTTCCCAGTCATGTATTCTCCTCCCCTCCCCTTGGCTGATCCCTGGTTTTTAAAATACTTTTGTCTTTTTGATTTGCCAGATAATCTTTGCAGACGAGTGCACCGAGGCCGAGGGACGCCATTGGCACATGCGCCACTTCTGCTGCTTCGAGTGCGAGGAGGCGCTGGGCGGACAACGGTACATCATGCGCCAGAGCCGCCCCTACTGCTGCCGCTGCTACGAGAGCCTTTATGCGGAGTACTGTGATGCCTGCGGGGAGCACATTGGTAAGAAGGCCCGTTGTCTGGGCCAGGGGATCGAGGGTGAGAGGTCAGAGTGGTCTTTGCAGAGACATGGCTCTGGGAGGGGCCGTGGCTCAACGGTAGAGCCTCTGAGGTTTCCAGGTTCAATCCCCGGCATCTCCAGTTAAAAGGGTCAGGTAGGAGGTGATGTGGAAGGGGTCTGAAGACCAAGTCCTCTGAGGAAAGGCTGAAGGAGCCGGGTATGTTTAGCCCGAAGAGGAGACGACGGAGAGGTGATACGATAACCCTCTTCAGGTACTCAAAGGGCTGTCATACAGAGGATGGTGCGGAGTTGTTTTCTGTTGCCCCAGAAGGTCGGACCAGAACCAACGGGTTGAAATTAAATCAAAAGAGTTTTCGGCTAAACATGAGGAAGAACTTCCTGACAGTTAGAGTGATTCCTCAGTGGAACAGGCTTCCTCGGGAGGTGGTGGGTTCTCCTTCTTTGGAGGTTTTCAAGCAGAGGCTAGACGGCCATCTGACAGCAATGCGGATTCTGTGAACTTAGGCAGATCGTGAGAGGGAGGGCAGGAAGGGTTGCCTCAGTGCTTAGTTCTCGTGGCCCTTTCTTACACGCCCAGGGAAATGCGGATCACCACTTTGGGGTCAGGAAGCAAATTTTCTCCAGGCTTGTTTGGCCCAGGAATCCATCTTATGGGCACGGAACAGGGGTCCCCTATACTAGTATGTTTTCCCGTGAACTTAGACCACAATATTCAGGGGGGCTCCAAGTCAGATTGAGGGTCCCCTCTCTCTAAGGTTTTTGTACTTTTAAAGTTATTGTTGATACCATATTGTTTTTGTTGACCCTCTTTTCCACTTATAGAGCTAATTTACTGTTTCTCTTTGAAATAAATATTATGTGTTTTTAATGTAATTTTATTGGTATCTATTATTTCTGAAATTTACCAGTAGCTGCTGCATTTCGCATTTCCCACCCTAGGCTTATACTCGAGTCAATACTTTTTCCCAGTTTTTTGTGGTAAAATTAGGAGTCTCGGCTTATACTCGGGTCGGCTTATACTCGAGTATATACGGTAAACTGTTTTCCTTTCCCTTCCGGGGGGGCTTGCCTGGGCGCCCCATGGCTGCGGGGAGCCAAGCAAGCCAAGGGAAGGCATGGGGTGTGGCCTTATATGCTAATGAGCTGTGCTGTCGGGGGTGTGGCCTAATATGCTACTGAGTTTCTGCTGTTGGGTGTGGCCTATTATGCTAATAAGTTCCTGCTGGGCTTTTTCTACAAAAAAAGCCTTGTGTGTATATATGTATATGCGTATGCGCTTTTGTGCCAGGAAGTCATGGCAACTTCTGGCAACCCCTAGTGGGGCTTGGATGTTTCAGAGAGGTGGCTTCATGGCCTGCCTCTGCCTCCCGGCCCTGGTATTCCTTGGGGGTCTCCCTTCCAAGTACTTGCCAGGGTCGGCCCTGCTTAGCTTCTGAGATCTGACGAGATCGGGCTGTCTTGACTGTCTTGGCTTGTCCCTCCCTTCCAGGCATTGACCAGGGCCAGATGACCTACGAAGGCCAGCACTGGCACGCCACCGACGCCTGTTTCAGTTGCTCCCGCTGCCACCAGCCCCTCCTGGGGAAGCCGTTCCTGCCCAAGCAGGGCCAGATCTTCTGCTCCCGGGCCTGCAGCCTGGGCGAGGACCCCAACGGCTCGGACTCCTGCGACTCGGCCTTCCAGAGCGCCCGCTCCCAGGACTCCCGCCGGGTCAGCTGGCAGCAGCGGCGGGTCCAGGCCCAGCGCGCCCCCTCCTCCCACGTCGCCCGCTCTGTCTCGTTCGGGGGGCAGCCGGCCCCGTCTCACTCGGCCCCGAGAATCCGGAGGAGCTGGAGCGGCTTGCCCAGGGAGGAGGCGCCCACGGAGACGGAGGAGCTGTCGGACCCGGAGAGCAACGGTTCGGGCTGCAGCCAGAGCGGGGAGGAGCCTGTGAAATGCACCTCCCGGGGAACTTCCACCTGCCCTCCGCCAGCTGCTCAACAGGAGTCAGGCACAGGTGAAGTAAAGCTGAGGGACGGTGGTGAATGGGGGGGGGGAATCCAGGTGGAAGTGGCTTGGTGATCACAGATCTGTAGGTTAATTGAGGAATTTCCTGGGGTTTGGGATCCGGGTCTCCCTGGAAACCTAATATTTTTGAGCCTGCTGGCCCGTTGGGAATGTCAGCGCAGTGTGGTGGGCACCGTCACAAAATGGCTGCCGCAGCTTACCAATAAAGATTTTTTTTTTAATGCTGTTGTCATGAACTGGTGGTGGGTCATGAGCTGCGGTGGCACAAGTGGTTAAGACGCTGAACTGCAGTCTGTGGAAGGTCGGTAGTTCAGCAGTTCGAGACCCGAGTGTGCCGCATGACAGAGTGAGCTCCCATCTCTGGCCCCAGTCTCTAGTTCCAGCTCCTGCCAACCTAGCAGTTTGAAAGCAAGAAATTGCAAGTAGATAAATAGGTACCACTTCAGTGGGAAGGTAACAGTGTTCCGTGCGCCTTGGTGTTTAGTCATGCCAGCCACATGACCACGGAAATGTCTTCGGACAGCGCTGGTTCTTCGGCTTGGAAACGGAGATGAGCACCGCAACCCTAGAGTCGGATTCAACTGGCTTTCGAGAAAGGCAACCTTTACCTTTACCTTTTACATGAACTGGGCTGTGCAAGCAAAGGCCTAGCAGGCCCAAGGACAGGGGTCATTTTCATAGAAAAAGAGCTGCAGGAGCTCATTAGCATATCTAATAGGCTATTAGCATGATAGCTCATTAGCATGTGCCACGCCCCCAGACATCACCGGAAGTGATGTCAGAAGGGGAAGCAAAAAGGGGGGGAGGCATCTTCAAAAGCCTCCCCTTCCCTTCCCCAGCCGCCCTGCCAAGGCGGGCTGTGGGGGGAAAGCGAAGAGAGAAGGGATTTAAAGTTTAAACCTCTTCTCTCTAGAGTCATCTTTCCATTCTATTCTATGGGGCCACAGAATATAATGGAAAGATTGTGCCGCCGCTGCGGTGCGAGTCTAGAAAAAGGGAGTGCGGGGGCGGGGCTGCAGGGACGACCCCTGCCCAAGGAGCCTGACTAGCAGTGGGAGGAGGCCAGGCCTACAACTCCCAGAAGTCCCTGAGAGGCTTCGGCGCCAATTTTAGCCAATCACAAAGGGGACTTATAGTAAAAGAGCTGGTACAGAAGGAGAGCTGTTCTTTCTTCCAAGAGAGCAGGGCCAGAAGGAAGGCCGCTGCAGGGAAGAGACCCTCACCCTGAGAGGAAGGGTGAGTAGACTCAGGCCCAACGGAGACAGTGGACTAGGGACGGTGAATATAGTCGCGTTAGTCCATTCGGTTTCTTTTCTCTTCACCCACTCATTGCTATTGTTCTTGCACCTTGTTTGTTTCCCGCATTGGGCTGACCGCCTGTAAAAATAAACCTTGTTTATTTGTTGTTCACTCTGCCTGGTCCTCACGCATCTTATTCGGCCAAATAAGGGAGGTCTGAAGGTCTTGGGGAGGGTGCTGTGGGCCTTCTCAAGGGATCCTAAAAGCAGAGTGGTGGCAGCGTCAGGTGACGCCCCACCTGAGCCATGACAGCTGTGGTGGCAGCTGCTGCCAAAGTCACGTTTGTAAAAACCTGCAGAGCCAATCAGAAGCCTGGCTAGGCAAAAGCCCCACCCGGCCTTACTCACTTTCTAAAAACACTTGGCGGGCACCATGTTGGGGACCCCTGCTCTGACACTTTTCTCTCTCCCACAGGCACCGAGATCCGGCCTCGTTTCCAGCGCACCTCTCCTTTGCGCCATTCCATGCCAGAGCTGGGGACGCCCCCTTCCAAAATCCCGGATTGGAGCTGCAGTTCAGCGTCCAAACTCCAAGCACCCGGCCGGTCGCGGTGCAGCGAGGGAAGCGAGCTAGGGGTGCAGAGTTTTGCCCGGGCAGGAGCCCCACGGGTTAGCTTCCGGGAACCTCTCGTCTCTGGAGAGCCAAGCCCTTCCTGCCCCGAGCAGCCCACCCTGAACCCCCAACTGCTTCAGAACGGAGGGGCTAGCCGGCGACACCTCCGTTCCACTTCTGACAATTCGCTTAATCTGGGGGGCCAGGGATGGAGACCAAGAAAGGGGGCAGGGCAGGCCAGGGGAAATAGTCTCTCCTATTCAGCTTCTGAAGGCGCTTTTCCTGCCTGGCACCACCGCTACCCACCCCGGGGATGGGACTTCAGCTCCTCTGACTCTTCTGATTCCTCCTCGGAGGAGGAAGGCTACTTTTTGGGAGAGCCGATCCCCCTGCCCCCACACCTACGAGGCGGGGCTAACCCCACGGAGACGCCGCCGCCTACTGACTCTGTGCGGAAACAGCAGCGCCGGAGACTACGTGTCGTCCGGGACAAGAACTGCGTCGTGGCGTAAACCTTCCATCTTTGAGACTTTGGCCGTGACGATCCCACTGTGAACTCAGGACTTTGGGCCTATGGAGCCATTAAGTGTTGACCGTCCTGTGGGGGGCTGTTGAAATTGAGTCCGGAACTCGTGACTTTTGCTTCTTCCACTCTGACCTCTCACGTTTCGACTCGTGACTCGTTGCCAGGTGCCCTCCGAGAGTGACCTCTTCATGACACCACTGAAAATCTTCTAACCTTTCCTCAGGGACACTTGAGTGCTGGCATTTTTCATGGTGACCTTTGGTCTTTAGACATAACTCCCCCCCCCTCAAGAATACTGAACTTCCATCTGTGGTGGTGCTTTGGACCTTAGTTGTGTTTATTTCTCCATTGTGGCCTTTTTGACCTATCTACTGTGACCTTTTAACACTGATTAAACTTTTCCTCTCGAACCTTCAAAGCAGGGGTCCCCAACCGTTCCGATCCTGTCGGCACATTTGGAATTCTGACATAGCGTGGTGGGCGCACCCACAAAATGGCCGCCAGAGGAGGCATAGCCAGGCCCAAAATGGCTGCCACAGGAGGCAGAGACAGCCACAAAATGGCTGCCACAGCTTACCTTCAGTCCCACAGTGAAGATCCTTGTGTTGTGGCAGCAGCTGCTGCCACAGCACTGTATTTAAAAATTGGCACAGCCAATCAAATCCCCAATGGCCAATCAGAGGCCTTGCTGGGCCCCTGGGCCCTCCCACGTTCTCAAACCACTTGTTGGGCACCAGGAAGGGTGTTGACAGTCACCATGGTGCCCACGGGTGCCTTGTTGGGGATCCCTGCTTCAGAGTGATGGATCCTTTTAACTTCTGCACTGTGTGCCCTATGAGCTTCTTTCCTGGGAACCCTTGAACTTTGGTCGTGACCTGTCCACTGTGACCTCTGACCTTCAGCCACATCTCCCAGAGGATCTTTTTGACCCTCGGTCTTTCAAGTTGCCATTATTAATGTTAGACTGTTAACAAGGTTGCATGGTCTCAAGCTTTTGGGGTGCTTTTTTCTCTATAGAGTTGTTTGGCTGTGTTTTAATATATAAATGTTCGTATGTGTGTGTGGGATGGGGTGGGGTGGGGCTGAACGCCTGTCCTCAGCCGGAACAGTTCCCTCCCCCCCAAAAAACCCTGAATATGGGCACAAGGTGTCTTTCACGGGGCAGAGCCCCCAACCGAGTAGCCTCCTAATGCAACTGGAATTCCCTCCCCTTCTCTGAATCCCCAAACTCGTGCATCTCTCCTGTTTGCAATTAAAAAAAAAAGAAAAGGTAAAATTGTTTTTCTAATTAAGGTTTTAATTTAAGCAAACTTTAAATAAAAAAAATTATGAAAACGCTTTCGGTTTCAGTGACTCGCGACAGGGTGCTGGGAGCGAGCCAGCAGAGGAGGTGTGGGAACGCGTCCGAGTTCTATCCCCAGTGAGTTTGGGATAAGAAGCGGAAAGCCACTGAGTTATTCAGTGACTCGGAAGGTGCAGCACTGTATAAAGAAGGCTATGGTAAGTTGTTGGCATTCATACCTTAGTCAAAGGTAAAGGTTTCCCTTGCTCAAAAGCCAGTCGAATCCGACTCTAGGGGGCGGTGCTCATCTCCGTTTCCAAGACGAAGAGCCAGCGCTGTCCGAAGACGTTTCCGTGGTCATGTGGCCGGCATGACTAAACACCAAGGCGCATGGAACACTGTTACCTTCCCACCAAAGCGGTACCTGTTTATCTACTTGCAATTTCTTGCTTTCGAACTGCTAGGTTGGCAGGAGCTGGGGCCAGAGACAGGAGCTCACTCCGTCATGCGGCACTCGGGTCTCGAACTGCCGAACTACTGACCTTCCAGTCTGCAGTTCAGCGTCTTAATCTCCGAGCCACCGCAGCCCGCACTTTATTCCAAAGGCCTAACCAAAGTTCAGTTAAATCTACATACATTTGTATGTGAATCATATTTCTGAAGGGGGAAAAGGCATATTTTCCTGCTTTTAGATAATGTACGTGCGTGTCCCATAGGGATTGCAGCCCCCAGGTGGGACCCGAGGATCCCCCAGAATGACAAACTTCAGAGATCGGTTCCCCCGGAGAAAATGCTTTGGAGGGTAGACTTTATAAAACATTGTCGGTCTTAAAGCTGCCACCGGACCCAAGCTTTGTTCTGCTGCTTCAGACCGGGACAGCTGACCACCAGAACCAAACGTGACCATTACTGACCCTGACCATACGTGTTTCGGCCCACTGGCCCTCTGTGGTCAAACGAACGATATTACGGCGCCCAGAGGTCGATTCGGGGGGATCGCGGTAGAGGCAAAGATATTAATCAGAGGCCTCACCCTGGATAGTTTGCTGCTATGGTCAGGTATACTTTCCTATAGTAATGGGTTCAACTGCGTATCTTTCTCTATTGAGCCCAAAGTGATGTAATAGTTTGGTGTAGTGGTTAAGTGTGTGGACGCTGATCTGGGAGAACTGGGTTTGATTCCCTACTCCACTTGCAGCTGCTGGATGACCTTGGGCAAGCCATAGTTCTGACAAGAGCTGTTCTGGAAAGAGCTCTCTCAGCCCCACCTACCTCACAGGGTGTGTGGGGAGGGGAAGGGAGTTTGAAAGCCGCTCTGACTCTTGAGTGAAGGGCGGGGTATAAATCCAATCTCCTCTTCTTCTAATAGGGTGCATGGTCAGGGTCAATAATGATCATTTTTGGTTGTCACTGTCCAATTTGATTCTTAATCGAGGCTCTCACCAGGGCCAATATCTGGTTTTAATTTATCTTGTAATACAGGTATATTTTTAGACTTCAGGGGCTGCTACAAGCCACCATTTGGCTATTCATGATGTAGAGCAGTGGCCCCCAATCCTTCTCAACTCATGGTAACGGGGTGGTTAGCACTACTCCCAAAATGGCTGCCACAGGAAGAAGAAGAGATTGGATTTATACCCCATCCTTCACTACCCTAAGGTGTCTCAGAGCGGCTTCCAAACTCCTTTCCCTTCTCCTCCCCACAACAGACACCCTGTAGGTGGGGGCGAGAGTGCTCTTGACAGAAACTGCCCTTTTTCAAGAATACCTCTTGAGCCAAACCCAAAATGGCTACCACAAAAGGCAAAGCCAAACCCAAAATGGCTGCTGTAGGAGGCAGAGGGGGGAAAGGGGAGGGGGAAAGAAACAAAAGAAAGTCTGTGGGCGGACATCAAAATAGACTGAAGGGAGGGGGGGAGCCTGTAGGGAGAATGGAACCGAACACTAAGGAAAGCTCCGGTTCTCACCAGTCCAGATATTCCAATGGCCGCAGCAACTATTTCAGTCATGGAAACCCCTCTCATTCGAATGAGGACAGCCAATAACCTGCCTTACAATGCCTCTGCCTACTTTCTGAAAAGTTCAGCGGGCACTAGGTTAAGTACTGGTGGGCACACATTGGGTAACCCTGGTGTAGGGGACCAAGACGAGGCCACGAGGAATGGCTAGCACTGTGAGCAGTGTTCCCTCTAAGCTGAGTTAGTGTGAGCTAGCTCAGTTTTTTAGCCTATGGCTCACACATTTTTGTCTTAGCTCAGGAAGGATGGCTCCAGTGCAAACTAATTTATGCAGTAGCCAATTCATCTGCTCACAACTTTAATACCAATAGCTCACAAAGTAGAATTTTTGCTCACGGGGCTCCACAGCTTAGAGGGAACATTGACTGTGAGGGGAGGTAATGTGGTCTCCCATGTGCAAGTTCAAATCTATTCAGAGTTTGGTGTAGTGGTTAAGAGCATGGACTGTAATCTGGGAGAACCGGGTTTGATTCTCCACTCCTCCGCTTGCAGCTGCTGGTGTGACCTTGGGCCAGTCACAAGTTCTCTCAGAGCTGTTCTCTCAAGGGCAGTTCTCGGGAGAGCTCTGTCAGCCCCACCTACCTCACAGGGTGTCTGTTGTGGGGAGGGGAAGGGGAAGGAGGTTGTAAGCCACTCTGAGACTCCTTCGGGTAGTGAAGGGCAGGGGGTATAAATCCAATCTCTTCTATTCCCCTCATCGGCTAAACTAAAGGAGATTGTAAGCCACTCTGAGACTCCTTCGGGCAGTGAAGGGCATGGTATAAATCCAATCTCTTCTTCTTCTATCCATCATTGAGGGTTAGAGGCTTGCTTTATCATCCATTTGGAAAAGCAAATTGGCTCGGACACACCCAGCTTACATTAGAGACCACGCGGAAACAATATTTTCTTTGCAAAATCGGTTTATTCCATCTTGTTCATAAAGCACACATAGATTGAAGCTGATGGCAGGAAAAAAGCAATAGACAGAGAGCTTAGGTGGCGTGGCAATTTGGGATACTGGACACAACTTTCCTCCCCGTTTCTTTCTTCTGGACCCAATCCAAATGGCTGGGAGACGGCCTCAAATGGGAGTGCCAGTCCTGTGGCCTTAAGTCTCCCTAGAACAAAACAGCTTATATCCACGTCCCCCCCACTTCCCAGCACTGAAGTATAAAAAGAAATAGATCAGAAGTCTGCACTGGTAACCCAAATTCTTTCCTGAGAACTACATTGTGCGACCTGTATAAATTTGCATAGCAATCATCCATAATTCTGAAAAAAACTTATTTTTGTGGTATAAAGTTCTCCCTTTCTGTTAATTATGATCTGGATAAAGACCAACTCATCGGGGCACGGAAGCTCCACCTCCTGACTGCTGGAAATCTTATCCAAGAAGCCCTCCGGCCTCTGAGAATTTACTAGGTGTCGCCGTGGGTGCTTTTGAGCATCTCTGCAAACACCTATTTTGCTTGCCTGAAACCACAACGTTCAGGCAGTCCCGCCTATAACCCCGATAACCTGGCATTCCATCAGGTAGAAAAGGTATGACGACAAAAATTCATCCCTCTTAAAAAGGGATTAGTATAAATAGGATGTAAAAAAAAGGGCTACCTCGGAAACTTTTGCCCCTTCTGAAAAGTCAAAAGTAGATTTAAAAAAATATACACACCTGATTCCTTACATCAATGATCTCTCAAATGGAGGCTTTAGAACAAGGGTCCCCAACCTTTTTAAGCCTGCAGGCACCTTTGGAATTCTGATGTGGTGTGGTGGGCGCAGCCACAAAATGGCTGCTGAGGGAGGTGGAGCTAGCCACAAAATGGCTGCCAAGGGAGGCAGAGCTAGCCACAAAATGGCTGCCATAGCTTACCTTCATTCACACAGTGAAGATTCTTGTGCTTGTGGCGGCAGCTATTGCCAAAGCAATATTGTAAAAATTTGCACAGCTGATCAAATCTCCAGTGGTCAATCAGAAGCCTTGGTGGGCAAAAGCCCCACCTGGCCACGCCCACTTTCTAAAAACACTTGGCGGGCACCCGGAAAGGTGTCGGCAGGTGCCATGGCACGCACGGGCGCCAAGTTGGGGACCGCTGCTTTAGAACGAGCCAGAGCTAGACATAAAATACAACCAAGCACCCAGCGTAGACATATTTATTTATACCTGTCTCCTGCCCCCATTTGATTTATTTATACCAGTCTCCTGCCCCCTATTTTAAATAGGGGAAACTGAAGCACAACAAAAAAGGAAAGCAGTTCATAGCCAGCGGCCTGCGGCTAAACCCAGCAGTCATCTTCACCCATCAGCCTCATCTCCTAGAACTGGGGGTAGAATCTGGGGGTCCCCTTTCCCCACCCGTATCTGCCAGAAGCAGGAAGCCCCGCCTACTGTTTTAAGCCTCACAGAAAGTATTTGCAGCCAAATAATCTTTCCTTTAGATCTCAGAAGCGTCTTCGGCTCTCAGCATTCTAAAGGTGGCCGAAGCCGCCAAGCACTCGTGAAAAGGACTTGTGAACCTCAGCCGGTGTGGAGAAGTGGCCCGTCCGTTGCCTGGGAACCGAATGGGCTTTTTCTCTGAACCTCCTCTCCTCCCTCCCATGTTCCCTGTAACGGGAAGGCAACCATTCTTTCCCGTAAGGTGCCTTCCTTTCCCCTGTGAGGACAGAGTCGGAAAAGGAGAAACTGTGGCAGGAGGTATAAAAGTGGGCGGGGGGCGAAGAGGGGGATCAAATTCTCCCTTTGAAGGATCGGTAGGCCTCCGGACGGAGACGGGGACGCTCGGAATTGAAAGACGTGGGGGAAGTCTCCCTTAGGAAGATGCAGCGGGAGGTGAGAGGAGAAGAGTCCAGTGTGGAGCTTCGTCGGCGCGGACGGCTTCAGATCCCTCCTGTGGTGTCTGTAAGGAGCGGACACACCAAAAGGAAACGTTGAGTAAGGCTACCCCAGCCGCTTCCCAGAGAGAGAGAGAGATATTGACACACCACTACAAAACCCGAGACTGGTCAGATCTCAGAAGCTAAGCAGGGTCAGTATGTGGATGGGAGACCACCAGGGAATACCAGGGTCGCTACATTATTATTATTATTACTAGGAATAAGGCCCGTTGTGGAAATAACTACAACGAGATCTAGAAAGAGGCTCTGGGAGAGTGCACTGGCTTTGGGCAAACAGTGTCAATTTGCTGTGGTGACCTCAGCAGGGTATAATGACAGAGTCCACTGTTTTCTCCAGAGGAACTGATCTCTGCTACCTGAAGAGCAGTTAATTTTGAGT